ATATTCCATTTATTTTAGTGCTTGCAAGTACTAAATAAGCTACCATGGCTCCAAAGAAAGCTCCTAGTGCCAAGCCTGTGGTAAAGAAGGTGAGAAATACGATTGAATTTAAGAAAACCATCATTGAACAATATGAAAGTGGTACAAGTGTTGCCGAACTGTCCAGGATGTATAAGAAACCCTACACAACCTTATGTTCCATAGTGGCCAAGAAAAAGGAAATCAAGGATGCTGTTGTTGCAAAGGGAGTAACTATGCTGACAAAAATGAGATCACCAGTACTGGAAGAGGTTGAGAAGTTATTATTGGTGTGGATAAATGAGAAACAATTAGCAGGAGATACTCTTATGACTTCGATTATTTGTGAAAAGGCTAGGCAGTTGCATGAAGATTTGGTAAAGAAATTGCCTGCAAATAGTGGTGATGTGAGTGAATTTAAGGCCAGCAAAGGCTGGTTTGAGAGATTTAAGAACCGTACTGGCATACACAGTGTGGTAAGGCATGGTGAGGCTTCCAGTTCGGACCACAAGGCGGCTGAAAATATGTGCATGAATTCCAGGAGTACATAGAGGCTGAGGACTGAAACCTGAACAAGTGTTCAATTGTGACAAAACAGGCCTCTTTTGGAAAAAAATGCAAAGAGGACCTTCATTTACACTAGAGGAAAGGCAATGCCAGGACACAAGCCTATGAAAGACAGGCTGATGCTAATGTTCTGTGCTAATGCTAGTACGGATTTCAAAGTTAAGCCATTACTAGTGTACCATTCAGAAAATCCCAGAGTGTTCAGGAAAAACAATGTTATGAAGAGTAAATTGTGTGTGTTTTGGAAATGTAATAGTAAGGCATGGGTCACGAGGGAAATTTTCGTCGAGTGGTTCAATGAAGTGTTAGGCCCTAGTGTGAAGGAGTATCTCCTGGAAAAGAAATTGGATCTCAAGTGCCTGCTAGTAATGGACAATGCACCTGCTCATCCTCCAAACTTGGATGACCTAATTTTCGAGGAGTTTGGGTTCATCACAGTAAAGTTCTTGCCCCCGAATACCACTCCTCTCCTCCAGCCCATGGACCAGCAGGTCATTGCAAACTTTAAAAAACTCTGCACAAAAGCAATGTTTCACAGGTGCTTGACAATGACCACAGACACTCACTTGACCCTAAGGGAATTTTGGAGAGAACACTTCAGCATCCTCCATTGCATAACCCTTATAGGTATGGCTTGGGAGGGAGTGACTACCAGGACTTTGAACTCCGCCTTGAGAAAATTGTGGCCAGATTGTGTCGACAAGAGGGATTTTGAAGGGTTTGGGACTGACCCTGATAAGCCTATGTTTGTTGTAAAATCAATTGTGGCACTGGGGTGTTCCATGGGGTTGGATGTGAGTTTGGAGGATGTGGAAGAATTGGTGGAAGATCACAACGAAGAGCTCACCACTGAGGAGATGCAAGAGCTTCAGCAGGAAGAGCAACACATCGCAGCTCAGAATCTTGCTGCAGAGGAGGAGGAAGAGAGATGGAAGAAGGTGCCTTCTTCAGAAATTTAAGAGTTTTTTACTATGTGAGGTAAGATGGAAAGCTTTATGGAGAAACATCACCCTAACAAGGTTGTTGCAAGCCATATTGGCAACATGTACAGTGACAAAGTCTTGGGCCATTTTAGGGAAGTGTTAAAGAGACGCCAGAAACAGAGCTCTCTCCACAGTTATTTTGCGAGACAGGACTCCATTGACTCTCAATGTGGTCCTAGTGGCATTAAGAAACAGAGAAGACAAGCAACCCCAGAAAAGCAATTGGTACTGAGGTGTTGATGGAAGGGGATTCCCCTTCCAAACTATAAACAATCCACTCTCTCTCCTCCTCCAGTCTCCCATACACTAAGAAGAATCTCCAATAAAGGTAAGTGTTATGCTGTTAATGTTTCATTCATCATTTCCCATTGTATTGTTTATGTACTACATGTATATTTCATGTTAAAATGTTTTTTGTTTTAATACTTCTGGGTGTCAGGAACGGATTAATTGTATTTACATTATTTCTTATGGAAAAAATTGATTCGTAAATCGTAAATTTCGTTTATAGTAACAGCTCCAGGAACAGATTAATTACGAAAAACGAGGGACCACTGTATATTGTAGTACAATAGAAGCAAGAACCTATATTGTTACCTTCTAACAGTAAACAGAGTCATACTGTAGTGTCTGCCTTGCAATTCCTCCTATACCTTGTTCCATAAAATCCTCCTTGCAGCTTATACAGTACTGACACTTATATGTTTGTTTAGATAATTAGATTATTCCTGGAAATAATTAGATCAGGGTGAAGTAATGACCCTTGTCAAATGGTATTAATTAATGGTATTAATTAATATGAATCAAGCTAGACCGGAAGTCTTCTGACTCACGGTGTGGCATAACATAGATCCGTTTCCGGGGAATTTTTCTTGGTGACTGCGGTAATAGCAACAGGGGAAAACATGACAAGGAAGTACTGTGACCTGATTTAGTAAAATGGATAACGAATCACCGAGGGGGAAGGGAGGGAGGAGCGAGATTCTCTTGATATCTCCGTCAGTACGACTTACACCAGCGCCACCCTACGCCAATAATCACTAGCATGATCCCATGTACTAGTTCGTCAGTGTACCTCGGCGAAGACAACGATAATATGCGAGTGCGTGGGGGGAGAGGGAGCAGTGTGTGTTTTGGTTTGTGCGTGAGGTTTTCGTGTCTTATCTCACACGTGATCTCACACGTGGTCTCACGAAGTCAGATCTCTACACTGATTATACGCAACGATACAATTATCCTTCGCTCCGGCAATTTATTTTCATAAACACTTGTCCTGCTGACGACAATAAACAGAAGGTTTTCAGTTTACAAGCAAGTTACACTGCTGGAACTTTGCTAAGTTGAGGGACCTCCTGCCTTACTATCCTCCTGGATTACCGCTCTGCAGAAGCTGATTTTACGAAATTTTAAGCATTTTCTACCAAGAATATCAGTGACACAATCAATATCGAATACATTTGCGTGTCACTCGATAAATTTATTAATAATTAGGAACATGCATGTCAGATCTATTGAAGAGTTTTCTCTCAACTTTGCTGAAGTGGACACTTGTGTACACTTCAGGACATTTATCATAGGAAACGTTTCGTGGCGAAACGCTGAAATGTACACAAGTGTCGTTTTCCACAGTGTAAACATCTCTCAACTTTGTCGGTCACGTAACAGTCACATCAGCAGCAGTAGCAGAAGTTGTCACACACGCTGCATCTAGACCACAACATCCGCGGGACACCAGAGATGAGAAAATTTATTGCTTACGGTTTCAAATTAAAGTTTTTTCATTTATGATTATTATTATTATTATTATTATTATTATTATTATTATTATTATTATTATTATTATTATTATTATTATTTTGGGGATGCGCTCAGCTCTTAAAGTTCACACACGCCTTGGGAATAGAAGGTAATCATGTTAAATACGAGTAAGGAGAAGGTAACACCTATTCCATGATTTAAAAGCACTGCAGCATTGAGGCACCGACTCTCCCATGAAAGGAGCTTCTAGGAAACTCTTGCTGCTGAAGACTGAAAGTCACAGTTCTGTGACTGGAACTTAATACATTTCAGTGGTGTTGTATATTGTGAGTATGCTTAAAAGACACATTATGAGGTTTATGACATTATACTGAGAAGATGTTTCGCCCACCAGAAACTTAATTTCCAGACAAAGGGACTGTTTACCTCGTCTTTTACTATCTCACGTTTCACCAAGGAGTAACGGTCCTCTACAAATAGTCGATTTCTCCCACTTCTATTATCAATCCTCTCGATCAACCTTACCAAGATTTTATATTTATCTTTTTTTTTACTCAGGGTCTTGTCATCATCTTTTCAGCAAGGCACTTAAAAAATAGAAATATTATTGGGGCAAGTACCAGTCCTTGTGGCAGCCCATTGTTGACATTACCCCATGAAAGTACTTTTAACTCTTTTTCTGTGTTCCATTTACCTTTCCAACAAATGTTTTGCTTTATCAACTACGGTAGTTTGTCTTTCTGTCTCCCATATGTCTCGTGATTTTCATGTTAGTCTTTCACGAAGAACTCTATCCGAAGCTTATTTCAGATGTGAATCACTGCGGTCTGCCATTCATTTCTTTCTCGAATATTTCCCTTGGCTCTGTCGCAGCAGCTTAAGCTTAATCGAGTTGATATACACAAGCTGGTGATCTAAAATGGAAATTATTTGCTAGTTAGTAGTTGACTGCTTTTCAGAATGTTTTATACATTTTTTCTTAAACGCTTTATCCAGTGTTTTCACAACATCTCTTGTCAACAAGACGGATCTAAAGTCAAAGACGCGAGGGAAAGATACAGTGAGGGTCAAAGACCTGCCTTACAATTTCTAGTAGCTTTCAGCCTCACATTCTTATAAGAACGATGGTGGTGTCTCCTCTGTTCGTATTCTTGTTTACTTGCCGATAGTTAGTATAACTTTTACATATTCTTTTTTTGGATATTTCAGTGTTCTCCACTGAAGTATGTATTGTGAGTTTTAAATTGCAGAATCTAAGGTCCCCCTTTTCTGTTAACACAGTTTGCATGCACAAATTTAGTACCTCATCGGATGCCCTACACTTCGACGATTTGTTCTTCGTTATAAATTGTTTGCATGTTGTAAGGGTTAAACTACTGTACTTGAATTACAACTCATTCATCAAATGGATTGTTTTTTCTGCAAGTTGGAGTTAAGGTTAGCCTTACATTCTTATCTTTTTCAGTGAGTAACAAAAGATTGCAATCCTCTTAGATTAGAAAATGTTCAATAAGTTAGTGGTTATCAAAGGCACTTGTCGTAGACACTTGGTGGCCTGGGTGTGTGTGTATGTGTGTGTGTGTGCATGCGTGTATGTGTGTGTGTGTGTGTAGGCGTGGGCACAACACTTCTCTCCACCAAAGTAGAGGCCGGGTCGATGCCGTGGCAACAACGACAGGTGGTCACTGTTGGCACGGGTGTTGAGAGAGCACCATCGCGTAGCTCCCGCAACCTCTGCCACCCTCCAACCACCATCCTGCCACCCGCCTGCCTCTCCATCTGCTGACCCTGCTGCCTTCCGCAGCTCCAGCCCCGGACTGCTGAACACAGCATCGCTATACAGCGAAAATGGTATTTACTGTGCGTAGTTCAGCGTTTAATTTCCACATCTGTGTTTCAAGTGAAGACATATGTCCGCTACTCTGCCTGCCTTGTGTCCCATCTACACTACATTTATAGAGTTAATGTTTCGTATATATTTTCTTGCCTTATCAGCTCCTGAAGGTGGAAGAGGCAGCGAGGCGCCGACCAATTAGTGAAAAGACACTTAGAGCAGCGTTAACCTTTTTTTTTTTTTGACGACATTTCACTCTAGGGAAACTTTATCAAGTTATATTTTCAAGTTATATTAAGTTATAAAGCTTCCCTTAAACGAAATATTGTTATAATGAAGGCTTATGTTGTTTTATTACTTCTCTTCATCAAGTTTTTCCTGTTAAAATTTAATCCCCCACCTTGTCACCTCTTCATCCTAGGCCACACCAAAGGCCTCGAGTTTTATAGGCTCGGCAGAGTATTTACACAAGAATTTTGCCAGGACGTTATTGACTGTATTTGTGAAGTAATTCACTTCTTCCTCGTCTGGAGGCTAACGAAAGAGATATCGAGACCGTGTGTGAGACGCTCCTTCTGGTCGCTTCGCCTACACACTTCCGCCAACAGACTTTACGCTACGCTTCAGATCAGAGGAAACGTGATAGTTGAAGCTGTTTCAATTACGAGATTCCACTGGCTAAAATGTTCCCATTTGAGGTGTTTGAAGTTGAAGCGACTGAGTTTAAGGAGTTGAGAGGAAGGATGTTGTATCACCGATCTATAACACAGATCTGGTCTTTAAGATTCCACTAGAGGGCCAGCTACTGTAGCTGAAGAGCCGTGTTAGTTAAAGACTTTCAAGCCTTCTCCTTTTCTCATGACCTACATCAGTTATTATGTCCTCGTGCAGATATTTTCACTGTGGGTAAAAGTGTACAAGAAAAAGATATTAGAGTTGTTTAAACATAAGATGTCAGAACGTTTTAGGGTAAACATTACGAAGGTGACTCACTGAATGAAATAGTGAATGTAAACATTATAACAGTGGCTACTTGGGGCCATTTGATGAAGCTACAGATAACTGAAGCTGTCGGAGGGTGACTGATGGTCTTGATAATGACTGATGACGTTGAAAAAGACTGATGACCTTAAAAACGCTGGTTTACCTGGAGTTTACCTGGAGAGAGTTCCGGGGGTCAACGCCCCCGCGGCCCGGACTGGTGACTTGGAAAATAAAACACATACTGGTAACCATATAATATTGAAAGATGTTTTCATCAAATCATTATATAATACCCTTGAAAATGCATCCCAGTTCTCGTTGTTTACCCTGGGGTTTGCTACTTTCCCTGAGACTTGTCACAATGTCTGGGACTTACCACACTCCCAAAAACTTTTCACGCTCTCTATGACATTTCACACTACTCTGGAACCTGTCATTCCCACTGGGACTTGCCTCCCCCCCCAGGGGATTTCGCATATCATCTGGGACCTGTCACGCTCCCCAGAAGCTGTCACACTCCCCGGTGGCCTTCGTGGCAACAGTTCCCACAACGGAGCTTCAACACGTTACCAAAACTTGTAACGATTGCCGATGGAGGCGCTGCCAAGGAACCTGTTACCAGGAGGGAAGAAACAAGTGTCGCATTCTTCAAATGTGGTTCACGCTGTCAGTGCCAATTAGTGCCTGTGTGTGTCAACACTATCCCTCCCCTCCTCCGAGTGTCCTACACTTTCAGTGCCAATTAGAGCCTGTGAGTCAGCACTATAAACCATTCCTTGTGTCCTCCACAGGCATGCAGTAATGCATGCGATATTTGTTTTTCTACATGTATATTATGCAGAAGGTAAAGTCTTGACAATTTGCAGTTGTTGTATTTTAAGAATATTAAGGACATGGCATAATACGTACTTTAAGTCTCGACATTTTACGAAACGTTAAGTACGGGCTTGACGGTCTACGACCATCGAGACCTTGAAATTCGTGCGTCATCTTAGTGCTGTATGTCATCTTGTTTACTGAAGCGTCGTTATCATGAATTCAATGAGTCACCGGGTACGGAAAACTGAATTTGGAATACGATTACATAACTCAATCTCGGAGTACGATAGTAGCTTTGAGCTTCTTGCTACATTTCCGTGGGTCCTCTTTGTTATAAAGATAAAATAATCCCCTAGGGTGATAATCCCTCAGTGCCAAGACTCTACTTCGCTTCGAGTTCAGTAAATCCCAGAGTTCTCAACGTGCTCTCTCTCTCTCTCTCTCTCTCTCTCTCTCTCTCTCTCTCTCTAGGTCACTGATTGTATCTATCGAGTACAATGACCTCCATTCCCCCACTCACGGCCATCCCCCCATCTACCTCATCACCCCTTACCACTCTGCCCTCATACAAAGTATGACAATAAGTACGGCTGTTTGTCAATAGCGCCCTTTGCATGGAAATACCAGAAGTCCCCTTTTATTTTGGTCTTGGTGTCCTAGAATGAACTTTCACGAAATTATTTCCCCAAATTTCATGTTTTAAGAGCTACCTTCTGTCCTAAACCCGTCTACTGTACTAGATATGAACGCATCTCACCTTCTCTTTCACCAAACGATTAACGAGCCTTCGAAAAAATGGTCTCTATATATTATTTTCAGTCTAGAGATAAAAGGATTACGAATAAACGGTGGTTTTGAGGAGAATCAATAGTGATGAATATTGTATTATGCTGGAGTTGCGGCTCTTAGGTGTGTGTGTGTGTGTGCGTGCTCACTTAATTGTGGTTGAAGGGGTCGATTCATAGCTCTTGGCCCAGCCTTTTCACTGGCCTCTACTAGGTCACTCTTCCTGATCTATGAGCTTTATCATACTTCTTCTTAAAGCCTCCACTACGTCACTTCCCAGACTATTCCACTTCCTGACAACTCTGTGACTGAAAAATACTTCCTAACATCCCTGTGATTTATCTGAGTCTTATTTGTGTGTGTGTGTGTGTGCCAGCGCGAGTGTGCTCAATCATTTCTGCAGGTGCTGAGCTCTAAACTCTTGGACTCTTTCTTTGCACATCGATTAAAGCAGTGTGGCTGGCTTACTTCCTGCTCTTCTGGTCTCTCTTACATCAACTTTGAAATCCATGTATTGAATCGGCCTCCAATACAACCCTTCCTAATGCATTCCATTTGAACAAATTTCTTATTTTCCTTTGGATAATTTGTACTCATAACTTCGAGTGGTATCCTCACGTCCTTTTTCCTCTCTCTCTCCAAACAGTTTGCATCTTTCACCTTTGTCTCTGTAATTACGTTTTTGTAATGGCCTCTTTGTAGCGACATGAATAAAGGTTGAGTGTGTGTATGTAAATGGCAATTTGTAAATCTACATGATTCGTGTTTCTCGGTTCTGCGCTCCAGTGAGTTGCCCATCTGTTTTAACTTCATGTTTTGAGACCGTGGGAACCACACCAAAGATTGTGGGAACCACACTAAAGGCTGTAGGAATCACACTAAAGACTGTGGGAACCACGCTAAAGACTGTGGGAACCACACTAAAGACTGTAGGAATCATGCTAAAGACTGTGGGAACCACAATAAAGACTGTGGGAACCACACTAAAGACTGTAGGAACCACACTAAAGACTGTGGAAACCACACCAGTGACTGTGCTAGCTACATCAGAGACTGTGGGAACCACACCAGAAGTGTGGGAAACACACCAGTGACTGTGCTAACTACATCAGAGACTGTGGGAACCACACCAGAAGTGTGGGAACCACACCAGTGACTGTGCTAACTACATCAGAGACTGTGGGAGCCACACCAGAAGTGTGGGAACCACACCAGTGACTGTGCTAACTACATCAGAGACTGTGGGAATCACAGTAAAGACTGTGGGAATCACACCAGAACTGTGAGAACCACACCAGAACCGTGGGAACTACACCAGAACTGTGGAAGCACACAAGAGACTGGAAACCACACCAGAACTGTGGGAAGTACACCAGAACTGTGGGAAGTACACCAGGAACTGCGGGAACCACATCAGAATCACATATTTCAACTCTGGGATATGTGATTCTGGTGTGGTGGGTGTGGGTACTAGCGTAGGTATTGGTTTGGTGTAGGTGTTACTGTGGGCGCCGACGTGAGTAATGATGTGAGTGTGGGCGAGATGTATTGCAAGATTGAAAGGAACATGGAAATTTGTGAGTAATTACCGCAACTGTTTGCGGTAAATGAAGAGAATATTCACTCCAATGATTGGTAATAATCGTTGAACACTGACCTAAAACTTTTCTCGTTTATTCTTTTCCTTCCACCACCTTCATCCTCTTCCCTTCCACCACCTTCATCCTCTTCCCTTCCCCCACCTTCATCCTCTTCCCCTCCTCACTCCTCATTCTCTCCTTTCCTGTCTCTTCTCTTTCGCTAGTCCCCATTTTTATCTCATCTCCTCTCTCGCCAAGTTGTTTCTGTCTCTACCTACCTACCAGCCTACCTGTCTACCTACCTACCTACTAGATTACCTATCTACCTACCTATCTACCTACCAACCTACCTACCTATCTACCTACCTACCTATCTACCTACCTATCTACCTTCCAACCTACCTACCTATCTACCTACCTACCTATCTCTCTACCTGTCTACCTACCAACCTACCTACCTACCTACCTACCTACCTACCTGCCTATCTACCTACCTATCCACCTACCCACCTACCTACCTACCTACCTATCTACTTACCTAACTACATTACTCCTGCGGACGATGGGCAAACATACGCCATGAGAAATAATAACAAAATAACATCATAAACATGCAAAACAACGACATAAACAAATAAAAAAGATGTCTTAATAGGAGAAATGGAATATTCCAATGGCTTCAACAAGAAATCCAAACGTATTTCCTCGTCTCCTTTGTATTTATGTACTTGTCCGAGGCTGTGGGTCCCCACAATCTGCGCTAGAGGTTCCTCCGCCAGCTGTATTAAAAACAAAAGACAGACAACGATATTAACAATTAAGTCTATGCGAGTCCAAGAAACTACCAT